ATCCACTTTGTAAGAAATATTAAGGGTTTGACTGCGTTAGATCTTGCCTTATATATACAAAAAAAAATCTTAATTAAAACGGTAGAAGTAATTAAAAAACTAATTTTCTAAAAAATAAACAATTATTAAACAACAATAATAATAAAGAATAAAATCATTTTAATACCTTTTATAATAGTAAAATAACTTGTTGGTACCATATGTTTTTAATAATACTAAAATAGTACTTTAATGTTTAAAGAAATGTTCTTTTAGTATCTAAGACTGATTTTTGATAATGAAATATATGGTAAAGATTTATTTTTATTTATAATTATTATTTTTTTTTTGGTGTAGACCTGGTGAATTATTTTTGGTGGAGAGTGAGTATGACTTTTTTATTTTTTTAAATGTTTTAAATCATCTTTAGTTTTTTTTTTAAATTATTAGTTTTTATTTGATTATTTAGAGGGTAAAATTGATATTTTTATGTCTCCAAAATCGCTTTGGAGGTAAAAAAAAAAAGGGTTTTTTAAAATTCAAAGTATCAGTTTAATATTATAAAAAATATAAAATATTTAGAGCACATTTTATTATAATACATTATACTAAAATAATTTTATCTCAATATTTATTCAACGATTTTTCACTAATACAACAACAACCTAATAATTTTTTTGAAAATACTCAAACATTTAAACATTAAAAAATTAAAATAAGCTAAAATATTTTTATGAGGGGATGTCTACCGATAGGGTAAAATCCTATACATCGTTGGATAAAAAACCACGGTGCAAGATCATATTCCCCGTAGAAACAAACATCAAAACAATTGTACAACCCGTTTATTTCACCATTTTAATTTAAAATTTAAATTTTAATACAATAAAAAATTCTCATAAATAATTATATTTAATTCTTTTATTATAATAAAATTTTTTTACATAAAATTAAATTTAAACTCAAATTAAAAATTTAAATCGTCGTGTCAAATTCACCTTTCAAAGGTAATACTCCATCTCGCTTCTCCTCGACGGAAGCCATGTCCTCCGACCGCGCCAGCACCAAGACGGCGCTATCTCGCCCTTTTTCCCATGGCTGTCCTCCCCCAACGCCTGCGCCGGTACAACCATCTTTTCCAATGACTAGAAATCTTAGAGCCTAAGTAATTTTTCAATCAAAATCTTCGTCGGATCTGCCGATGACGGCGGCGACAAGGAGAGACTTGTGGGACTTGTATCAGGCGAGGTCGTGGTGAGGGCGAAGTCAAGTTTGTCGTCGGTGAGGATATTTTCGCCGGTTTGGCATCGAAGATTCAAATCTTTTGGCAATGATTTCCCCATCGTTTGGTCTCCTCCCCGAATCCTTGGACGCCTCTGTTGTGTTTGCGAGGGGTTGACGAGATTGAGGCGGCGGATTAGAAAATCAAGAAAAACAAGTGTCCGAAAAAAAGTCTAGCACTTACACAATCCTCTTCAACAACAGCCATCCTCCAATCTTGTGAAAACTAAAATATCCAATTGTCAAATAAATGTTCATTTTTTCAATTTGTATATGGGGAATTTTATGTTTAATTATTTCTTCGATCAAAAAGGACAAGTTTATGATCTGTTTACTTCTTGAAATTTCTACTGATTTTTTTTTACTAATTTCCCAAGGGTCTGAGTTGTTTTTACTTTTTTTTTTTTTTTTTTTTTTTTTTTTTTTTTGTTTTTTTTTTTCTTTTTTTTTTTTTTTTTTTTTTTTTTTTTTCTGGTTTCAATTCTCATTTTGATTGACTTTGATCTTGTTTGATGGTGCGATGTTTATTGGAAATGATTCTCTGGAGGGGGAGGAGCTTTGGTCTGACGGTGGAGAGGGGAAGAACAGAAGAAACTTAGATTTGTTTATTTTATTTTAGGGTTATTTGGTTGAGAGATTCATACACCGATTTGAATCATGAGTTATGATTCGCTATAATATTTTTTTTTATAAAAAATACACATAAATTAAAAATAATTTTAATCCATAAAACAAACGTCTCCTTTATTTTATAATAATTATGCGTTGAAGGTTTTATTTTTATTTGGTAGTCCTTCATTTTTTTCTACCATTAAATCTTGACCTATTAATCTGAGGGCACTTTAAAATCACCTTACCAATAGGGAAAAAAAGCGTCCCCTACCGTAGACATTCCTTTTTAAAATGTTTTTTAAAGCTAAAATGGGCAGCATTTATCTTTTTTGTCCCACCGGTAGAGCAGGATTTTAATATCCTATTATTGACATCGTACGGTTAAGGAGCCCATCCATGTTGCTGTTTTTTTGGGTACTGATGAGATTGAAGTTTGACAGGACAACTTAAAAGAAGTTTTTTTTTTTTTTTTTTTTTTTTTTTTTTTTTTTTTTTTTTTTTCACTCTCCGGTTTCTCTAACTTTTATAACTCGTTTAATTTAATTTATTGATTTAAATTTTTAATTTAAATTAAAATGTAATTTTATATGAAATTCTTTTTATTATAGTAAAAAAATTATATGTGTTTAGTTTTAAAAGTTTTTTATTGTAATAAAATTTAAATTTTAAATTTAAATAAGTGAAATGAATAGAGTCTTAAACTTGACATAACAACTTGGGTCTCGTTCATTTAATCGATTCGAGTTTTTAGTTTTAGGTTTTTACATAAAAAGTTCTCAGAAAATATCACATCTAATTTTTCTTATTACAGTGAAAAGTTCTTAAAAAATCTCACATCTCAATTCGAATCTGCGAAGTGAACGAGATCTTGAAATTTTTTTTTTTTTCACTCTCTCCCTTGAGCACGTACGTTATTTTTTTATTTTTGCTGGAAAAAATAGGTTATTTTTTTAAAAAAGAAAAAGCACTTAGATTATTTACATGCGCTCAAAAGCACTTTAGGGTATTTACATGCACTTTTTTTTTCTTTTCCACTCTCTTCCCCGAGCACTTATCTTTTTCTTTTTTTTTTTTTTTTTTTTTTTTTTCATTTTCCCCCTTGGGCACTTACGTTTTTTTTTTTTTTTTTTTTTTTTTTTTTTTTTTTTTTTGTAAAAAAAACCCTTGGGTTTTTTTTTTTTTTTTTTTTTTTTTTTAAAGAAAAAGCACTTAGATGTACTTTTTTTTTGGTTTGTTTTTTTCCACTCTCTCCCCTCAGCACTTAGACTTGACATGACAACTTAAAATTCTTTTTTTTTTCCACTCTGTCTCCTGAGCACTTACGTTATTTTTTTATTTTTTTTATTTTTGTTAGAAAAATCACTTTTAAGGATTTATTCAGTTATATTTTTAAGTTATGATAATTTGAATATAAATTTTGAGTTAAATTTGAGTTATAATTTAAGTTAAAATTGTAATTTGAGTTTGTATTTGATTGTGTACATTTGAGTATGGTTTGAGATGATAATATTTTTGAGTTTATATGTAGGTGAATCAAAATTTGAGTTTGTATTTAGATAGTATTTTAATAAAAACTCAATGATTATAGAAAATTTTAATAGGGTATATGAGTGATGTTTTATTCGTCCATTCGTTGTGAACGCATAAAAAAAGTATCATCTCAATCGGAATTAAAACGAAAAAGTTATAGCGTTTTTAAGAATAGAAAAATATTATTCGTTAACTTGAGTTTGAGTTTAAGAACTTGAGTTGAAGGAAACTTTAACTCAGATTTTAACCATACACTCAAGTAAAATTCAAGTCAAAACTCAAATTTTATAAAATAAAAAAAAATGAACTTGAATAAAATTATAACTTGAGTTCAATTTTTTTTTTTTTTAAATTTAGATATAAACGAACAAGCCGTAAGTTACTTACATGCACTCTTTTTTTTTTTTTTTGGCTGAAGATTACTTAACCTACTTATTTAGCGACTTAAGGATGGCCCTTTTTTTTCGTTTTTTGTTTGTGGAGAAATTTTGGGAAAGTGTATTTTCTTACAAACATCTAGTTCTATTTTCACAATATTTTATTTTTTTATCATTTTTATTTTTATTTTCTTTGGTGAATTTTTGTTGTTTTATTTGCTTTCTATATTTTTTTTGCGCATATCTAGAGAAAAAATTATATGAGCTCGTTTAGTTTATGGGTTCAAATTAATAATTTTAATTTTGTATTTAAATTTTGTGAGAAAACTCATTGATAAAACTTTTTAAATTTACATTTTTTTGAGAAAAAAATACTATGACAAAATTAAAATCATGAGTTTAAAACTTTCTATAATAAAACAAAAAAATAACTAATTTTTTTAAATAGAAAAATCACCAAATATTAATACTCAAGATGAAATTTAAGTCATAATGAATAATGAAATAAAGACTGAAAATATATAGAAAGGCGCAGAACGCTCAAGCTTAAAGAAGACAAATGTAAAGGTCCAAGACATAAATGGTTTGGTCTTTAAATTGATGATTTTTGAATGTAGACAAGTTTATTTACATGAACTTAGAGAATTGTGATTACATCTCAATTAATAATATTGGTTAATGCATATGTCAAGTCTTTTAAAATTTTTTTTTTTTTAAGATTTATTGGTAGACGTTGTTTGATCTAATCTAATTTTATAAAAATATAAATAATCGTTAATTTCTAAAATTTTCTTTAACCCATCATTGACATAACGTCAACTGACTTTCAATTTATTTTGTTAGTTATAAGCATGAAAATTTTCCGCCATAAGTTGTTTATTTTTTCTTTGTTTTATATATTCTAATAATTTTCCTATTACTTATGAATTTAGAAAGATAGAGGTCTCGTTCATTTCACCGATTCGAGTTTTCAGTTTTAAATTTTTACAGTAAAAAGCACTCAGAAAATGTCACATTTAATTTTTTCTGCTACAGTAAAAAACTCTCAGAAAATATTACATCTCAACTCGAATTAAAAACTCGAATCTGCGATGAACGAGGCCAAAGATTATAAATGCTGCCGCTAAAATAACGTATTAAATTTTTGCTGGTGGGGTAGGAAAGGGGACCGCAGATCTCAACTCCAAAGGATTTGGAAGCGAAACGCTAAAAACAACCGAAGTAGAAAGTTTTTGGTTGTTTTCGTTGAGTTAGCGGTTGTTTTGTTTTTCGATATTCTTCGATGTCTGAAATAGTTTCATTTCTTAACCCACGGCGACAAATCAGGTTTTTCATTTTTCTTCGTTCAAGAATTTAAAAGGTGGTCATGCACAAACTCAATTCAAGAATTCTAAATTTTGCTTATACTGCAAGTCGCGAACTCAAGAACATAGCATTCAGTTGTTTCAGTTACAGAACTGTTGGAACTAAAACTCTGATTAATTCGAATAGACTGCTAAACGAGTTGTCGAAATCCGGTCGTATCGATAAAGCCCGCCAAGTGTTCGACAAAATGCTCAGTCGAGACGAGTTTACTTGGAATACAATGATAGCCGCCTACTCCATTTCAGGAAGATTGTCCGAAGCTAGAGAGCTTTTTTATGAGGCCCCAACAAAAAGTCCTATCACTTGGTCGACTCTGATATCTGGGTATTGTCGCCATGAACGTGAAACTGAAGCTTTTGAACTGTTTTGGCAAATGCAGATGGAAGGACAGAAGCCCAGCCAGTTCACGTTGGGCAGTGCCCTAAGGTTGTGTTCGACATTGGGTTTATTTAAAAGAGGTGAACAGATACATGGATACACCATTAAGACCAGTTTTGACTCTTGTGATTTTGTTCTCGCGGGTCTTGTTGACATGTATGCGAAGTGCAAACGCATTTTGGATGCTGAATATCTATTTGGGATGTCGTCCAACAGCAGAAATCATGTGATGTGGGCAGCCATGGTTACTGGCTACTCTCAAAATGGTGAAGGCTTGAAAGCAATCAGGTGCTTTCAAGCAATGCGAGCGGAGGGCGTAGACTGTAATCAGTTTACGTTTCCTGGCATTTTGACAGCCTGCGCGGCGGTTTCAGCTCTTATCTTTGGGGCTCAGGTGCATGCATGCATAGTTAGGAGTGGATTTGGGGCAAATGTGTTTGTTCAAAGTGCGCTGGTTGATATGTATTCAAAATGTGGAGATTTCAGTAGTGCTCAGAGGATGTTGGAAGATATGGAGGTTGATGATGTAGTTTCTTGGAATTCCTTGATTGTTGGGTGCGTGAGATGTGAACTTTTCAGAGAAGCTTTGGGCTTATTTGAAAAAATGCGTGTAAAAGACATGAAGACCGATCATTTTACATACCCATCTGTTCTGAACTGCCTTGCTGTCATGAAGGAAATTGAAAATTCAAAATCTGTCCACTGTCTAATTATCAAGACTGGCTTTGAGGCCTATGTACTCGTTGGTAATGCCCTTGTTGACATGTATGCTAAACAGGGAAACTTAAATTGGGCGTATCAGATGTTTACTCTTATTTTGGACAAGGATGTGGTATCATGGACGTCTCTGGTTACAGGCTATGCACACAATGGCTTCCCTGAAAAAGCAATCGGCTTGTTTCGTGACATGAGAGTAGCAGGGGTTTATCCTGATCAATTCGTAATTGCTAGCATTTTAAGTGCCTGTGCAGCATTGGCAGTTTTAGAATTTGGGCAACAAATTCATGCAAACTGTACTAAATCTGGCCTTCGGTCATCCTTGTCAGTCGATAACGCATTAGTGACAATGTATGCAAAATGTGGGTGCATAGAAGAGGCTAATAGGATTTTTGACTCAATGCATGCTCGGAACGTGATTACGTGGACGGCTCTTATAGTTGGTTATGCACAGAATGGTAGAGGCAGGGAGTCTTTGAAATTTTACAATCAAATGATTGCAACTGGCATAGACCCAGACTTCATTACTTTTATTGGTTTATTGTTTGCTTGCAGCCATGCTGGTCTTGAGGAAAATGGTCGATCCTACTTTGAATCAATGGATAAGGTTTATGGCATAAAACCAGGTCCTGAACACTATGCCTGCATGATTGACCTCTTGGGACGGGCGGCAAAACTTGATGAAGCTGAGGAATTATTGAATCGAATGACAGTGGAACCCGATGCAACTGTTTGGAAGACTCTACTTGCAGCCTGTAGAGTACATGGGAATGTGGAACTTGGAGAGAGGGCGGCAAAGAACCTCCTTGAATTGGAACCCTCTAATGCTGTGCCTTATGTTCTGTTGTCTAATATGTATTCTGCAGCTGGTAGATGGGAAGATGCTGCAAGAATACGAAGATTGATGAAATCAGTGGGGATCAGCAAGGAGCCTGGATGCAGTTGGATTGAGATGAACAGCCAAGTGCATAGATTTATGTCTGAAGATAGAGGCCATCCAAGAACAGATGAGATATATTCAAAGGTTGATGAAGTTATGATATTGATCAAGGAGGCTGGCTATGTGCCAGACATGAATTTTGCGCTTCACGACGTGGACGATGAGGGAAAGTTGCTTGGTTTAGCTTATCACAGTGAGAAGTTGGCAATTGCTTTTGCGCTTTTAGCTGTGCCCACAGGGGCACCAATTCGGATTTTTAAGAATCTCCGCGTTTGTGGAGATTGCCATACGGCTATGAAATATATATCTAGGGTGTTTCATCGGCATATAATTTTGAGGGATCCGAATTGTTTTCATCATTTCAAGAAAGGAAACTGTTCTTGTGGAGACTATTGGTAGTGGACTAACAATAGACTAACAATTCTTTTTTCTTCTTTTTTTTTTTTTTTTTTTTTTTTTCCTTTAAACCTTTTTTTTAAAAAAAAAAAAAAAAATTTTTTTTTTTTTTTTTTTTTTTTTTTTTTTTTTTTTTTCCCTTAAACCTTGTTTTCAATAGACTATTTATTCGAGGGCCATGAAATGGTTGGCTTTTGGTGGTCATTGATTTTGTCCTCCACCTGCCACTTTGACGATTTAGAAGCTTTTTGAATGACTGTGGACTCATGGGTTGAAACCGATGAATTTGAAAGCACTGGAACCTGGTAGAGGAAAGCAGCTTGAGATTCAAGCCTACAGTTGATGAATCGCTGGTCATTTATGTTAAAAAGTTACGAGCATTATTTTGAACCTATCAGCTTTGATTTCACAAGCAGTAGCACTTAGATGTACCAGATCCTGTCATGTGATCAGTATTCTGATTGCTCTTGCAGAAGTCAAAAGAATTTTCCTATACGCCTCTTGAAAGCATGGTGCACCTTTTGAATTCAATTCCTTTTTGTATTTCACTTATTCTTTTGCATCATTTTCTGACTCGCATTTCAACCTCTTCTAATAGATCTTCTATCTGAGATTTTGAGAATCCGCAATTATATAATTGAATGTCTGCTTGTTAGTGTTTAATCTTTGAAAGTGACTTTATTACAAGTAATCTCAAAGCTTGAAAGGCTTCTCTTGAGTAATGAATTAGATTACTTGGAGATTTTCTTACCCATAAAGTTAGATTACTTGGTTCTTATCCAAATGTTGTCTCGCCTTTATTAGAAAAAGAAGTACCAGTTAAGGTTGCCGAGCCAACAGGGTTGCTTGAGCTATCTGCAAAGTTTAATGCTTAGCAGATTGGTAGTGATTAGCAACAGGAAAAAAAAAAAAAAAAAAAACACATTCCTTTTATCATGACCTTTCAGAAGACCGTAACTGATAATCATCATTATCCCCTCAACTTCAAAAGACAAAAGTGAACAACCAATTATGTAACATTAGCATGAGCATATTATGAAAGATCTACTTTTTCATTTGGCATTTGCTTTTATGTTTTCTCTTGATGCTTTATTTTCCTTCTTGGGAGCGAGAAGCACATAGTTGCTTTGTTTGCTTGCGGTGAAAAGGTGCTTTTATATTATTCACTTTGAGAAATGGTACCAAGTGTTCAATCAAGGATGCAATCTATGCTCAAAGCCGTTGATGACAGAACATGCATTGGCAGTGGAATACGACATGCCTCGTAATTTAATTAAGTAAAACATCCATTAGTTTCATCTTTTTTTCTGAAAAATTATCAATTAGTTGTTGCTTTTATTATCAATTTGGCATGTAACATCATGCAGTAGACTCGAGTTATTTCTCATATAAGTCTAACCCGGAAGAGACTACAAGTTATTGATTAAGCTTAATACTATTAAACTAATGATGATTTCAACACGAACGCTATATTTCACAAAACAAAAAGCAAGAAACTCCAAATCTTTACAAAAATCACAAGAGTAAGGGGCAGTTGAATTACCCTCATGTGTTGCTCCATAAAAACCTTTCTACCTTGGTAGAAATAACTAAATCATACAAACAAAATTGGATAACAAGAAGTCAGTTTCTTGAATCTTCAATTTCCCTTTCAACAGAATGTGAGAAAATAACGGTATACATTGAGAACAACCTAATTACTCTAAGCGGATTCCATGAAGTTAGTCTGAGGAAAAAAAAAAGCCCATCAAAAACTACATATGAAATGACAATAACTCATTTTTACTGTCAAAAGTACAACATTGCCACATTGTAGGTATGTATATTGTCAACGCCACAGCCAAGCAGAGCAGTTCCATCCACACGATAATCCCACCGGCGAATTCAGCATATAGATTGCCCAAATTGAACATCTTGCAAGAAAGACTTTAAAACCCACCATTTTGTCGGTAAATGTTGGTAAATCTTGGCTATTTGAGCCCTAAAACAAGCATGGCTTGTGTGCAAATAAGAAACAGAAAGCACGTTTTATAACCGCATACAGATAGACCACCTCATGTTCATGTTAATTTCTTGCATGCTCCGGAATAAGACGGTGCCGTAACTCAGTTGATGCACCAGACAGTTCTGCATGGTATTTGCTTTCAGCACTAGAAAAAAGAATAATCAAGGTAAAGAGGGAGAAAGGGTTAGATCAGTTATACCTTGAGCTGTGAAATTGAACAAAGGTGGTAGAGCTCGGCCGTTAGGCAAGCATACATTTGGGTCTCTTAACTCGTCAAAGAAGGGATGTGCACAAGCTTCCAACTGAAAATACGGCTATCGATTAGGTCCTTGGGACTATCAAGGCATTTCAATTGCATAACGTTGACATGAAAAGGTGACATTTGACTATTACAAACCATATATATAAAACATAACTATTACAAAGAGATACAAATATAGTCCACAAATATTTGTGTACACAATGATAGTAATTGATTGAAAATCTTATGGCAGAGATAAAAAAAGGTTTAAAAAGCAGCATTTCTCGTTAAAGGCCACCAGAAAGTAAAAATTTAAAACATGATTATCAGTATGAGACTGCATAAAATAACCGCATTTGGTTGGAGCAACATAAAGCATCTTGCCGCTTGAGTATAATAATGCAAAAAGTATCCAAAATAATTTAATATTCTTACAGCGGTGCAACGAAGATTAGGTGAATACTGAAGCAGCCTTGACACCAGATCCACAGCTTCTGGGGGCATTCGCTTGTGAAATATCTGGAGATTTCCCAAACATGAATATCTATATAAATAAATTATAAAATATACTGATCATAAATCTTTTTACTTAAAAAGTAGACCTTGTGCCATGGGTGAGCTTTGATTTGAGGAAACTTGAATTCTGTATAATTTGGGTTCATGCACTTGATTTCTTCTCTTGTTGGTGTCCCAAGAATCTAAATGATAAAGCAAAAATAGGAAAATTATAACCAGTTAGATAATATAAAATGCAAAAACTCACATTTATCAGGAAAGAAACGGGTAGTTCTAGAAACTGTACCTTGATGATTTCCACAAGCTGATCAACACCACTCTCTCCGGGAAACAATGGCTGCAAGAGTGCATGATCCAACATCAGAAATGGAAATGAGTATTATCAGATTAAAAGGCCGCCAAAGAAAAAGAAGAGAGAGAGAGAGAGAGAGAGAGAGAGAGAGAGACTGCCAAAGAAAAAGAAAAGAGAGAGAAAGAGAGAGAGAGACAGCCAAAGAAAAAGAAGAGAGAGAGAGAGAGAGAGGATATACAAAGAGCAATGCCATTGATTAGTAATGCTTAAAAAGTGAGTCTCTAAAGGAGAATTATAGTAAATGATCCAAACCCCACAATGAATACGAAGGATTAGTTGCACAAATTTTTAATCTAGAGCCATTAACTTCCATAAACTTCAAATTATAAAGGCCCGAGAGGCAAAGTACTATACCGAATATAGATCATTACTGTCACACCCAAAAATCCCAAAATATCAAAATTGTTAATACCCCAAAGGCCATGCAGCTTAGCATGATTCAGAGGCACATTACAGAGAAAATTTTTATGCAGAAAAATATGATACCAGGGCGAAAAAGCAAATTAATCTCATCTGCCTTGCAATTCAGAAAATAGGAAACATGAAATTCCATGAATAGTAATACTATTGGCCCGTTTGGTTCCCACGTTTAAGTCAGTGATTTTAATTATGAATTCAAATTGTGAGAGAACCATTGGCGGGAATTTTTTTTATTCAAATTTATTGTGAGAGAAAAATATTGTAGCAGAATCGGTTCCTATGTACTAAAAGGAGATAGCAAGACATGCTATCAAAAAATAAGAAATCAAAATCTTTTACACTTAACAAATTTAGCTACCTATCTGGCACGCATAAAAACATTACCTGTCCCAGAAGAAGCTCGGCCATGACACAACCAGCAGACCACATATCAATTGCAGTAGTATACTCTGTAGCACCAAATATAAGTTCTGGAGCCCTGTAATAGCGTGAGCAAATATATGATATATTTGGTTCCCCTGGCACCTAAAAATGTCAGAACAACTTCCGTAAGTTCTCCGAAATAAGAAGTACCTTTACTTAAAAAAAAAAACTAAAAAAAGGAAAAAAGGACGTACCAACATTTTTGCACTCCCAAAATCACATATTTTCAGCTGATGAGTATGAGGATTAACCTGCATAATGCATCAGAAAATTATGAGTCAAAATCATTAAGGTGATGCGATAAGTCTGTAAAAAGGGTCACCTAATAGTAAAGCAGCATATATGTTCTTGTTAAAATATATAGCTATTGTTGGCCCACCTTCTAACAGCTTAAGCTTTTGGGATGGATTGATAAACTAACATAATATCAGAGATTAAGCTCTTAACCTAATCTTTCAATGGCAAAAACTGTCATGGCCAGTGCCAACAGAAGTTCCTCTTCCACGAGAGATGACACAAGGAGTTCGCAAGACAGTTCAGCCACAGTCCAAAGCAGTGATGATGGCATATCCTTCATGAATCACCCATCTAATGCGTTGCAATTGACTGCACACAAATTAAATGGGAAGAATTACTTGTCTTGGGATCAGTCCGTGAAGCTTGTAATCGATGGAAAAGGGAAATTAGGGTTCCTGACAGGCGAGGCAAAGAAACCCGGGGAGAACGACCCAAAATTGAAGACATGAAGATCCGAAAACTCCATGATTACCGCATGGCTTATCAATTCCATAGAGTACTCGATTGGAAAGCCATTCTTATTCCTTTCAACTGCCAAAGCAGTTTGGGATGCCGTATGAGAGACCTACTCCGACTTAGAAAATTCATCTCAAATATTTGAGATAAACTCAAGGCTATGGCAGGCAAGACAGGGGGATAGAGAGGTCACGGTTTATTACAACGAGATGGTGAACCTTTGGCAAGATTGGACTTATGCTACAAGGAAGAATGAGACTGCACCAATGATAGCGTGCGCTATATAAAGAGGGTAGAGAATGACAGAGTGTTTGTTTTTTTGGCCGGACTCAATAGGGAATTAGATGAGGTGAGAGGCCAGATTCTAGGAAGGAAACCACTTCCATCCATCTGAGAGGTGTTCTCTGAAGTGAGAAGGGAAGAAAAGCGGAGGAGTGATGTTGAAGAAAGAAGAAGCAAGAAGAGTAAGAGGCCAAAACCTCTGCCTTGGTTTCTCAGGGGGCTGACTTAGACGGAGACAGGAGAAACACAAAGAAGAATGATAGGCCATGGTGTGATCACTGTAAGAAACCTTGGCATACACGGGAAACATGCTGGAAATTACATGGGAAGCCGCTGAATTGGAAGAAGAATGAAGGGGGTGGCCGAGCATTCCAAGTTTCAAATGATGACCAAGGGCAGCAAGTCAACCAAAAGCTCTCCATTCACTAAGAAACAAATAGACCACTTGTTGGAAATCATCCAATCCTCAAATCCATCCTGTTCTCTAGCCCATAAAGGTAACTACCTCAATGCCCTTGTTAGTGTCGATTCCGGTATAAATTGCCCATGGATCATAGATTCTGGTGCAACTAATCACATGACAGGATCATCAAAATTATTCTCTTCATATAGTCCATGTGCAGGAAATCAGAAAATTAAAATAGCGGATGGATCCCTTTCAGCCATAGCTAGGAAAGGTTCCATTGCTATTTCTCCATTCATCACCCTTCAAAATGTTCTTCATGTTTCAAATTTGTCATGTAATCTCTCGTCTGTCAGTAAAACTAACTCGAGATTTAAACTGTCAAATTCACTTTTCCACATCTTCTTGTAAGTTTCAGGTTTCGAACTCAGTGAAGATGATTGGCAATGCTAGACAAAGTGAAGTGCTCTATTTCTTTGTAGATGGATCAAGCTTGGGAAGACAAGCTCAAAATACTTGTTTTAAGTCTATTTCTGTTTCTAGCGATAAGGAAGTCATGTTATGGCATTTTAAGTTAGGACATCCGAATTTCCAATATCTTAAATATTTGTTTCCTAGATTGTTCATCAATAAAAGTCCATCTTCATTTTAGTTTGAGATTTGTGAATTATCAAAACATCATCGGGATTCCTTTCCTTCACAACCCTATAAGAGCTCAAAACCATTCACAGTTATCCATAGCGATGTTTGGGGACCTTCTAGGGTTAGCACTTTCTCTTAAAAAAAGATGGTTTATCACCTTCATAGATGATCACACACAGGTAACTTGGATGTTTCTTTTAAAGGAAAAGTCTGAAGCAAAAGAAGTTTTCAAAAACTTTTACAACATAGTTCAAACACAATTTCAAACAAAAATTCAAGTTTTCCTAAGTGATAATGGGAAAGAATATTTTAATAAAATCTTGGGCAAAATTCTTAAAAAATGAGATTGTACACCAAAGTTCTTGCAATGACACCCCTCAACAAAATGGGGTGGCGGAAAGAAAAAACAAACATCTTGAGGTTGCTAGGTCACTACTTTTTACAAATAGTGTTCCAAAATACTTGTGGGATAAAAAAATAATCATCTGCTTGCTATTTGTTCCAACTACACAGCAGATAGTTAATATCTTGACTAAGGGGCTTCTACGGTCTCATTTCGAATTTTTGACAAGCAAGTTGGGCATGTAAATATCTATGCTCCAACTTGAGAGGGAGTGTCAGAAATAGAGGAGTAGATAGGTTTAGTTAGGGTTTATGTGTTATCAAAGAAGATTTGAATTCTAGAGTTTAAATTTTGTAGTGTAAGATAAGGATTGTTGAAGATATGATTTAGAGTATATCTAGAAGAAGATTAGATCCTCAATCTCTTATATATATAACTATTGTATTTTTTCCAGTTACGTGATTATTAATAAGAATAAATATTTTTCCCCCAAAACCTACATGGTATCAGAACGGGAGGTCTTAAGTTCAAACTCCCATAATTACACTCTTTATCCCCATTTAAATTGTCATCATGTGTAAAGTTTTTAATATATCTCGGGCTTAAATATTCACGTGTTGGGCTTTCTAATTAATTTACCCACACGATTGCCCATTGTCCAGTCCACACGTGAGGGGGAGTGTTAAAGTATATAACTATTGTTGGTCCACCACCTAACAGCTTAAGCTTTTGGGATAGATTGGTAAACTAACAGTTCTCAATTGAATGAGTCTCAATATAGAAAATAAGGAAAACTTGCCAGCAAATTCTGGGGCTTAATGTCACGATGACACACACCAACAACGTGATGAAGGTAGTTTAATGCGCGACAAATCTGCATAAGACAAAACAATCAACTGAATATTTAGAAAACCGGTCCGCATTATTGCACAAGGAAGAATAAAAACTAATGCAATACTTACCTGATACGTATAAAGTCGTACATATACAAGGGGCATATGTTGGTTCAGCCTGTTATAGTACTTTGAAACTCGATAGATAGTTTCAGATACATACTCGAGGACAAGATTAAGGTAAAGCTCATCTTTGTCAGTTGTGGAAAAGAAACAATGCTTCAGTTGGATGACATTAGGATGGTCAAGTAAGCGCATGACCTGAAGTTCCCTATTCTTGTATCTCTTATCCTGCAACACCTTTTTAATTGCAACTGCCTCACCCGATTCCAGGCATTTTGCCTGCATAAATCATTATGACTCGTGTGAGTGAAGAATTGATACCAATATACAAGATGGAACGTCTTTTTTTTTTTTTTTTTTTTTTTTTTTTTTTTTTGTGATAGGGAAGATGGAACGAATTATTCTAATACATTTCTCACTTTTTTTTCTTTGGTCCAATGAAATAAAACTTAGATGATGGATACGTGAAAATGATGCCAAGTACCTGAAATACAACACCAAAGGAACCAGTACCAACCACACGCTCTGCCATATATGAGATTGTCTGCATCCCAGAAGAAAAATGTTGTTAAAGTTTTCTACAAACCTTAAATAAAAGAGATCGTGCAAAAGTTGGATATATGTACGACCTAAGGTATCCTTAGGTCTCCTTATAGTCGTGGAAGAAGATACTTTGATTTTTATTTTTTTTTGTGTTTATTTTTAATTGCTTAGTCACCCATTACAAAACAGCACATTATGCCAAAATGGGACAATATAGAAATAAATAAACCTCAAAAGATGCAGTAACGATTTCATAAGAAACTTACCTGTTTAGGCTGTCCATTTCGACCACCAACTGTAGTTGCTATTATCTGGCCTGCTTCTGTCCCATGACCATTTATAACAGTGGCTTCCACATCCTGTACAAGACATAAGAATCTAGTCATTTAACAATTGCTTATTTGGTTCTTGTTCTAACCTATCCCCTTTTGATTCCGTTGGGCTTTACTCTTGAATACAATAAATACATAAACATTCACAGCTGTTTATGAGTAAATTGAAGTCCACAATAGAATACTAAGGCCCCGTTCGCTTCGCGGATTTGAGTTTTTAATTCAAGCTGAGATGTGACATTTTCTGAAAGCTTTTAACTGTAACAGAAAAAGTTAAATGTGACATTTTCTGAGAGCTTTTAACTGTAAAAACTTAAAACTAAAAACTCGAATCGGTGAAATGAACGAGACATAAGGTTGCTCTCAACATTATACAGAAGCAAATATGATTGTTGTCGATATGAACATACTTGATATGCGGTGAAAGTGAGTGCCAGTGAAGAATTACCTTTTCATCATGACTATTGGATCTCTCATCTCTAATCTTCATTTCATGCATTTCTTTTGGTAGCTGATCATAGCCAGATCTCTCTGCTACATCGTCTGCTTTAGCCTCTGGTTTAACCATCGAAGATGCAATGGACGTGCATGCAACATTTTCCAGTGATGTAGAAGGAACATTCTGCTCTATATTGGCAGCAATTGCCTCAGCTCCATTTGATTTGGGATTTACCTGCTCAGTTTCTTGATCAACCTTTGCTCTCTTTGTGCTAGTATCCACACCCTAAAAGAAAATAAATTAAATTGAACAATAATATTTAGAAACATGGGAAGTTAATATAGCAATTTCATTGCTTTGCAAATCTTACAAATACACATTACTAATCTTTATGAGTTCTCACACAACAATTATACTTGGAGAGCATAGATATATTGCAAAATGAAGGATGAATGGAGACATAAAACGGATAACAAGCCTGTTGCAAAATTTACGAAAGAATAAGATAACCTGCATTTCATTCATTTGCTCTTTCGAAATTATTTTCCTTTCTTTTGTTTGAAAAAGAAAAGAAAAAGAAAAGAAAGCTTTTTCTTCACGGGAAAAAGTATCTTTTGTCGTTTAACTTCACCAAAAGAAGGAAACTAGAAACTGTTTAGCGTGCATGGGCAAATGAGAACAAAACTGATTACGTGGTGACAGGGCACATGATGACAAAGGTAATGGTTAATGCTGTATATGATGGAAGAGTGTTTTCAACAGGGTTTTTCACCCTCACCTTTTTTTGAGCAAATGTTAAAAAGTTCTTTCCCCAAATTTAACCAGTAAGTTGTTTAATGTTGATAAAGACGCAGTTACCCCAAAGGATCATCAAATACCCAGAAAATGCAGAAGAAAAAAATTCTAGAAAAATATTCCTTAAAGAAAAAAAAAAAAAACCAGTGTTTTGACATGTAACATGATAGTTTAGCTGGAGAGTTACGAGTCTTCTTTGCTAATATATGCATATTACCAAAGATGTCAGGGAAAACCCCAGAAAAGAATTAATAATGGCCATCTTAAATTTTTCCCCAAAAAAAAGCCAAAATTCATCATTGCTCATCAACAATGTAACGCCACCCACAATGCATCACGAGAAGTCCCAGAATAGTTTTACTTTTTTAATCACCATGACTAAGAATACAATCCATCATTCAATGTGTATAAAACTAATAAACTATCATCAGATCCCATCTTAATTGCCATCACATTCAGATTAGAGATTGCAAATCCATAAAAACGATTAACCAAAACCCAATGTAACCATAACAAAAAAAAGAAAAAAGAAAAAGAGAGAGAGAGAGACAGCCCTATAAATCCCTCAAAAAGCACCCTATGAAAAGAACATGAAGAAACCGATTTAACAATTAAATCCGATTTAGCAAGGAAAATCAATAATTACCATTTTCTCGAAATAAAAAAAGGAAATAACAAGACAACCCAAAATTTTTTTTTTAAAAAAAGACAGCTCTTAGTTTTAATCTTACGTGAGCTGAGCTAGTCAAATATCCAGAAACAAAAAAAAAAAAAAAAAAAAAAACCTTTAACTCCATTTTTGCTTCATTTTCGCATAAAAAACCGTATCAAAACATCATCACCGAAAATCCAACAAAAGAAAAGAAAAAGAAAAAGAAAAAGAATTTGCAGAGAAAAACTTACAGGGTCCGATGAAATGGAGGTCCGACCGGAGGCAATGCTCTTGAGACGACGCATCATATACATCTTTCTCGCTTCGTTTCAGTGAGTACTCACTGAACCCCAATCTCGAAACCCTAACTTCTTCAAAATCCCCCAACCAAAATACGAAACTCAACAAATCACCCCAAAATAATAATAAATTAAAAAATGAAAAAGGAGAGAGAAGAAATCTCTCTCCCCTCCCTCTCTTTCC